AGGGACAGAGCCTTTTCTTCCAGCATTAGATATTATGAAAATGTTCATCCTCAACTTTTCTAATTGCTTTCTGGTGTCTCCTTCCTTCACCCTGTTTTTTAAAGATCATAGATTTTGGTTTTTGGGATCAGCTTTTATTATGCCTCTTAATTGTGAAGGTGAAGAAAACCTGCTGCCTCATAGTCATGCAGTCCTTTAAAAAAGTTATTATAAAACTTTTTCTGTAGTAGTCATTTTAGTTTCTCCTCTGGTAATAAATCAATAGTGTACATGTACTTTAAGTTTGTGATGTTTTGATTCATTCAGCAATGAAGGAAATGAACTCTGGCAACATGATAAGAAACAGCGCTTACTTTAAAAAAAAAAAAGGTCACCCCTTTGCTGTCAGCTACATATTAGATTGGTTTTAATAAATCTGAAAGAGTGAGGCCATTGCGACATCTCAGAAATGAAGGCGGAGGTTTGTGGTACTAAATGATTGTGAGAGAGTGAATGGATGAAAAGTAATCTGATCTGAGGTAAAACCCATTTTAAACGCGAAACAAAGAAACCTACTGATGGCAGTTTTTCAGTTGTGGTCGTTTTTGTTTTTTTTCCCCCATACTTATTCTTCAGGGGAGGCTGACAACCTGAAACGACAGACTTTATACGCAGTAACTCACTTTGGTGTACAGTAGAATATAGATTGAAGTGAGAAAAATCAATAGAATATCATCTAGAAAGATAGTAATGGATTTCTAACTTAATGGGCTCACACAGGTCTATTGATTAGCAGGGTGAAAATCTGCAATACCTCAACAATCTGATTTGCATTTAAATTACAGTACGCAGTGTGCTGACACCAATATAACAACAGAGACAAACGTATAGTCTGAACAGCAGCGCTCAATCAAGAGGTCTGACTGTAGTGTAGTTTTTAAAAAGTAAGAAAGGAAAAGTTGCTGTGATGAGATCTTACAAACTTTTAAATTCTGCTGTCGGGACAAGGACAAAAAAAAGTCCCCTATAAGAGTGAAGCCATCATAACTCTTGTTGGGCAGCTCATCTGAGCCTCCCTGGTAGGATCCTGAGGAAGCGCACCGGCTGTTTGTGGAGAAACACTGTGGATGTCTCTGTGTATGTGTATATTTGTACTGAGTGGGTGTGTGTAGGGAGGGGGGGGCGATGTGAGATGAGATGTTGAGAGGGTGGGGAGGCGGGGAGTTTGATGGACTGCATTGTCACCTCCAGGCCGAAGATTTACAGTGGCGGGGCTGCTGACGAGCGCGGGGCAGTAAACAGGCCGGCCGGGGGCGTATTTCACAGCGAGCTGGCTTTTATGAAGAACACCGGGATGGCTCTACCCACAGCTCCGCCCGGACCGCCGTGACGGATGGAGAAAGACGCATGACAAGCTTCATCATTGTTTGTAAATCTTAACTGTTCCCGCTCACTAACTCCAGAAGGCAATTTTGCGGAGACAGCGAGGCCTGCAAGGGGGGGGAGGACGAGGAGTAGGAAGGAGGAGGGGGTGAGGAGAGGAGGGGAAAGGACAGCGTGGCACTGTTGAAGGTTATTTGGATCTCTGTGTTTGGCCAAATGATTAGCCTCATCCTGGGAGGGAGATAAATCTGCCAGGGGGCTGTT